TCCTTCCCACGTCGAAGAGAGCTTGATGAGAATCCGATCTTTACCAATTCCTGCTTCCTTATAGAGGTCGATGAGGCGCCGGGCCCTTTGAATCATTCCTTCCTTGTCGAAGGACAACCTTTTGAGACAAGAGCAGGGCTGCTCAGAACTGATCCTCTGTTTTATATGCTCCCCCCCCAAGCTCCGTGGAAAAACATTGTCCTGTTTTATCAGGACAAAAACATGCCAGCAGTGGGTTTTTGTTCTAGGGTCCCTCCTGGACTCTGAGCCCCCCCCGAGGAGGAAGTTCTTCATAATGAATTCAGAAGCTGAGCATTTAAAAAAAAAAATTGGCAGTGAGCAGGTTAACAGACAAATCCTGTGCAAGTCTTGAAATAAACTGTTCAAACAGATCTCTTGCTAAATTGAGCAGATAGAATCACAGAGAAAAGAATGAGCAAAACTAAGAGGGGAAGCACGAAGCTTCCCTGGCTTGAGAAACAACAGGAGGATTACAAAAATCCAAGGTTGGTGTTACTTGTTTTTCTTACAGAGTTCTAGTCAAACTAAGGGGAAGCCACACTTCTAAATATTAACAATATAAATCCTGATAGTCTTATAGGCAAGAGCACCTTTCTCCAGCTCATGTCATGTCTCTTTTTCTATGTACAAATATCCAGGGTAACCCAGAGGGAAAAGAGCCAACCTTGCATCTACTTCTGTGGACACACGGCCGGGTATCCTCTTGAGGATTTCAGCTCCAAACAATACAAAAAGTTTGTCAGAAGCATTTTTGATCTGTTCCTCTTCTGACCTGAAAACCACAAGAAGCAAAAGCATATGGGAGGAAAAGAAAAAGGTACGTTTACGCTTTACCATGGATCTGAAGATCAAATTTCACAGCCTGTTTAACATCAAATTCCAGAGTTCAAATGAGCCACGTGTGCTCTGCTCTGTGTTTGTCTCCTGCCCTCTGTTACTGCTGGCAGGATTAGCCTTTGGACATTATTTCCTATAAAGCTGCTGTTTTCCTGTGCAAGGAAGGCCATGTGTGAGCTGGTGAATAGGGAGGCTTTTTTGGGGCAGGAGATAAACCCGCAAGTACGCGAGGGGGAAAGCCCAGTACGATGCTTGTGTAAATGAGGCATTTTAAACGTAGGTCTCCTGAGATTAAAGCCCTCTTGACTTACCCACCAAGCTTTTTCCCAAAGGCAACAGCATCATCCACGAGTTTCTGGTACACCGGCATCTGGGCCGCGGCGAGGATCAGGGACGGGTTGGTGGTGGCATCCAGGGGCTTGTACTCGTCGATGGCTGAGGAAGGAAAACCAGGCTGTTTAAAACCACCAGCCAGCTTCAGAAATGAGAAGGATTTTGCTCAGGTGGCTGAGGATGTGAACACTTGTGGCTGTAGGGTCTGGTAATGACAGAGCACACCAGTGCTCAGAGGTGTTTGTGCCATGGGACATGTGCCATGAACAACTGGGCTGCAGGAGCAAAGTACAGCAAACTTCAAATTCTATAAACAACAGGCATTGCCCAAAAGATACAGACTTGTAAAAATCATGAAGTGGTCCTGACTTCCAACTGTATCCCAGCCAGCATAGCTGAGCTTCAGGAATCACAGAAGGGAATAAAGACCAGGGGATCTTCCCTTCTAGCAGTCAGGAGTTGGGGCTCTTGTTTGTGTCCAAGGATAGGACCAGGACAGATGAACAGCAACTCTTCTTACTGCTTTTTAAACCTTTTCCAAATAGTTGTAGTTTCTCTATGTCCTTGTCATTTCCTTGTACTACCAGGCTTTCTTCTTTGCAGAACATATTTGACCCTTTGTCTTACCTTAAGCTGTGGACTGCACCTATTCCAGGTGATGCCAAGTGTTTACCAAAGCAGGCTGTGACTTACATTGTCTGGCTGTAATCACAGCCTGGCACCAGAGCCTGGCTGGGCAAACAGGGCAGAGCCTCTGCAGGCCCCTCAGCAGTTTCAACAACGCAGTTAAATGTCAAAAAATAACCTTTTTTTTTTTTTTTTGCACAAGGGATGAACCCGTGAAGTTAGAGAGTGCAAACTGTACTGAAACTGTGCAACTGTATTGAAAATAAGTCTTGTTTTTCCACAGATCCCTCCCAGGCAACGATCAGGATCCTGGAGAGGTCCTTCAGAACTTTAATTCACGTGGACACGGCTTAAAATAGAGCAGCACCTCAGTGAAACTCCTGCTCTGTACTGAACCCAACGGGGAACCAGAGTCGGCAGAGACTGCACCTTCAGCAGAGCCAGGTGGGATTCTTGCCGTGTTTTGGGCTCTAAGAATGACCCCCAGGTAACAACAGGCAGCCAGAGGACAACCTGGGGGTGTCCTGCACAGGGCCAGGAGCTGGACTTAGTGATCCCTGTGGGATATTCCCTGGTCCTTCCTGCTGCCTGCACACCACCACCCCCTCGGCCACCACACCGTGTATTTTTTTGTCTGAGCTGCCGCCACCTCTTCCCTTCACCTTAAATTTACTGCCCTGAGACATCTGACAGTTCCCATGTGGGGTTGGTTATTATTACACATCCAGGATTAGGGATTACCAGGCCTGGGGAGGGCAGGACGGGATTCCAGGGCTGTTCTACGCCACCCAGAGATACTCAGGAGGGATTTTTTGGCTCTGATGGGCCAAGCAGGGCACTGGGCAGTGACAGCTTGGGAACAAATGGCTTTATAATGGAAGGCCACCTCCCCTTCTCGGAAAGGAGCACGCTGGCTCATTACCAGGAGATAAGGCGAACGAAAGCACTTTGGCATTATTTTTATGGAATCCTGGAATGGCTTGGGTTGGAAGGGACCTTAAAGATCGTCCACTTCCACCCCTTGCCATGGGCAGGGACAGCTTCCACTAGCCCTGACTGCTCCAAGCCCCGTCCAACCTGGCCTCGAGTTTGAAAAAACCCCAGAAAAGTCCCAAATCCAGACAGGTCGCTGGAAAAAAAGCCCGAATTCAGAGCCCGGTTAGAGTGCGGCAGTTCTTACTGACAGCACGCGGAGCTGAGCGTGGGGGTTTGGGCACACTAGCAGAAAATCACGGGAGGGTCTGGAAAATGTCCCGGGCGGGCGGGCGGGTTCTGCCCTGCCGGCTGCAGAGGCCGGGAATGGACGAGCGGCCCCCCCCCCCCCCCGCCGCCGGGTGGTTCGCTCTGCCCCCGCCGAGCGCCCCTTTAGCCGGGCGCGCCCACTCTGCCGGGAAGGGTGGGGGTTAAGGAGAAGGTGCACTGACAGGACACCCACCCCCCCCCCGCGCCGCCCCTCACCGTTGAAGTCCCCGGTGTCGGCCACCACCGTGGTGTAGTGCTTGAGCTGGTCCAGCGCCGACTCCATCTTCTGCCGCTTCACGGGGGACACTGACATGTCGGCGGCTCTGGGGGACTCCGGCCACCTATAAGGGACCCTGCGTGCCCGGAGGGGACCGGCCTGCGCGCGCACCCGCCGCCCGCGCACTCCCGCCACCCGCGCCAATCCCGGCCAGAGGTGGGGGGCGGCCAGCCAATCGGGAGCGCCGACACACGGCGGACCCGGCCGGGAGGAGCCGGGGCGGGGCAGCGGGAGGGAGCGCGATTCTGATTGGCTGGGTCGCGGCTCTGAGGGTCGGGGCGGGTGGTCGCCTTGGCGACTCTGATGCCGCCATTGCCCCCGGCGGGTGGGCTGGGGTGGGCTCCTCACCCCGGGATCTCCCGGGCTGGGATCTCCCGGCCTCTGGACCTCCCCCGGAGGCTTCCCCACGGCCGGGCACAGCGCCCGAGCCTCCCCTGAGCCACCCGTCCCTCATGGCCGCGCGGGGTCGGGGCGCCGCCACTGGCACAAGATGGCGGCCGGGCTGTGAGGGGGAGGCAGCGCTGAGGGAAGTGCTCACCCGCTCCAGGAGCTCAGCGCTTTCTGTTTCCTCCCCTACTGTCGCGGCAAGGCTCGAAAGGGCTAGTCAGCCACAGCTCCAGCCTGTGAGAGAGCCCTCAACCCAGCAAGGCACGTGGTTTGGGCTGCTCGTTCACTCCAACTTTTTTCAGGTTCTAGAAAAGGTCATTCTGTTAGCGTGGTCGTGCTCCTGAAACAGAGGATGGGACTTGGCTAGAAATGTCAGAGAATCTGTCACTTGACTGTCTAACAGGCTCCGAGTCATGCTGTCCCCTCTTTTGTACCGTTCCAATCGTATAAGCTGCCACCGGAGTTTCCCTTCCCGATAAGCAAGAATGTGCTTTTGTACAACGTTCTCATGCTTTGCCCAGCCCAAGAGAGGATAATGCAAAGAGGCATCTCTTTACTTCCGTGCTGTGCCTAAGCTGGCATTGACCAGCATTGGGGATTTTTAGCTTGCCAGTGCAAAATGTAGCCCTGGACAGCATCTGTGTGTGAAAACACTGATGTGTTGTCACAGTTGCATGTTCCAGGGGTAAGAGAAATTTGTTCTTCGAGGTGACGAGTTGGCAGTTTTCCTGGCATTTAATTCCTACCATGTGTGAGGTTTCTCTCCCCCCCTCCCCATTTTTGGATACCGTTATCGAGGCCACGGCATTCTTCCTGTTGAATGCCAGTTCCCCAAACCCAAAGGAAACGTGTGGTTTCAGACATTTTGGTGGGTTTCTGAGACTCAGTGACAAACCATTATGAAAACCCAGCGAACGAGACGGAGATGGAGGTATACTTATAACTTAACTATTTTAATAAATCTTATACAGTGCATGGTTATATCATTTTCTCCTTCCTTCAGTTACATCAATGTACAGGACTTTATAGCGTTGTCTGTAGGCAGTACAAGCAGAACAGATGCACAGCTCAGTCACTTGAAAATTTATAGAAGTGACTCCTGCAATAAGGTCTGCTGAGATATTTACTTTAGGAAGTGCTCCCATGCTCCCAGCTTTACAGAACTGTCGTGTACAGTCCCATTATAATCCCTAATAACTATAATTCTGTGGGACTTGCTTTCTTCTACACCCAAAGAAAGGAAGGTGGTGTGTTTCCTGGCTCAACACTTGGTTTTATTTTCATTTTAGGAATGATTTCTCCTGTGCTTGCCATCCCGCTTCCCATCTCCACCCTACTCCAGAGCCAGGGCTTCTCAGGAGGATTGTCCTCTTCATCCCTCCCTGACAAGGTAAGTGCCCTTCACAGATTCCAGCAGGGTTGGGGCTAAAAGATGATCCTCCCCTGCAAGTTCCCTGCCTGCACTCCAGTTCCTGTTTCAAATAAAGAAAATATATCATCCATAAGAGACGTTAATTGAAGAATAAAGCCAAAACTGAGGTGTGTTGGTGCTCTCAGATTTAGACACAAGTCCCCCAGACACTGTTTTAAAGCTTTTTCCACTAAATGTTCGAAGACAAGCACTTTAAAGGAGGCAGGGCCATTCCTGGCAGGTAAAGGCAAGCACAGGTGTGGAACCTGGACCTGAATCCCATCCAGCCAAAGGTGAGGGGTGTGAAGGAGAAAACCCAACTCTCCCTGTGCTGTGAGCAGTTCTGGAGCTGTTTGCTTTCCTGCTTTGCCATCAGGTAGGTCTATAAGTTAAATAGAGACAGAAATACAACGTGCCAAACTTACTGTGGACAGGAACTACTCTGCACTTGCTTGAGTTGTAAAACCTTGAGTAAAATTTTGATGCATAATCACTTCATCCTGTCTCTAGGGAGAGGGATTTTTCCTCACCTCTATTTATAGATTGTTATATACATATGCACATGATATGATGATGAAAAACACCCTGTGCTAAATTACTTTTTTTTTCTTTTAGTGGCCATTTATTTTGTGCTAAACCAGCCTTTTTCCCAGTGTGCTTTTGGGTTTTAGATATTTAGGAGTCATTTCAGCTGAACCTTTGCAAAGCAAATGTGAAGGTGGGGACAGGTGACCGACACCCTGGGAAGGGCTGTGGGTGTAACTGGGTTGGGAGCAAATGGTCAGGGCTTATCTTCTCCTGGTTTGAGGTGGGGTTTGGCAACACCACAACATTCCAAATCAGGATCAATGTCACTGGGAAGGGCTGCACAGCTGCCCTGAGCCCCAGGCTCTGCCTAAGCAGAGGGGAACTCACCTATTTCCATACTTAAATGACTTCCTTTGTCACTCCTGTTTTTAGGCAATGAAATCTCAGTTCCACTGTTCAAAGCCAGCAATAACTGGTTTATGGATTTAAGGAAGCAGACAGTCTTTGGGAATGTGTGTTGCCATTCCAGCCTTGTCCAACGAGGGGGCATGGGAAAGAGGGTGGTGGGAAGGAGAGAAAGAGGGCAGGGAATTGTCACAGGCCCTGTGCAGGGGAATATCTGCTCTGAGGAGGGAATGAGGAGGGGGTTGCCTTAGGATGCCCGGAGAGGTGGTGACTCCCCATCCCTGGAAGTGTCCAAGGCCAGGTCGGATGGGACTTGGAACAACCTGGTCTAGTGGAAGGTGTCCCTGCCCATGGCAGGGGTTGGAACAGGATGAGCTTTAAGGTCTTTTCCAACCCAAACCATTCCAGGATTTTAGGAAGAGCCTTATTCCCATGGTCCAGCCTCTAAACAGTCAGTGCTGTTCCGTGCCTGCTCTTCCCGAGCCATGCTGGAGAGGGGGTGGGAGCAGGGACAGCTCTCAGACAAAAGCTTTGTGAGGTCTCTTTTTGCTTGACTCCGGCCCTTGTCGTTCATCCAGACCCGTGTGAGTCCCGCTCTGACCGCATGCACGTAAAATTTCAGTATAAAATACATAGTTATAAAAAAAATACTTCATGCAATATTAAAACACCTTTCCCAGAGGGACATGGTCTTATTGTCAACCCTTATCAACAGTGTTCGAGGAATTGTCACTCTGCTGGCAGCCAGACCCAAAGTGCAGCACTGCTGTCTCCTGCCTGGCCAGGGGATCATTGCTTTCATTCCCTTTTTCTCTGCACTACTAGAACTAAGAGCTGAAATAAAGCAGACAGGGTTTAATTAGCGGAATCAATCCTCTCCTGGCGGCGCTTCATGATTTCTTGGAGCTCTGACTCCCCTCTGCTTTTCTGCAACGGAAACAAAACAGGAAGTTTGAATTTGAACTCCGAGCTGTAGGCAAATTACAGCATTTAATTCATGCTGTAAGGGTCAAGCTAGTTTCAAAGAGATACATTATATTAGCAAAAAGCAGATTAATTAGTGGAAACGGGGATCTGCCTTATGGATTTGGGACCTTTTTGCTTAAAAGCCCCTTGAGAATTTTTACATGTGTTTGATTGGTGGTGTGGGTTTTGGTTGCATTGTTTTTTGTTTCTTTCAATTGTGTTTCTTAAAATGCCTGTTTAATGAGATATTTGACACTGCTGGTAAAGTAGGGATTATCCAGAAAAATACTTACCTCCAGTTGGTTTTTCTCCACTGTGATCTTGCTGTATACTCTGTTTCCCTCATCGCCACACACCTTCTTCAGCTCCTCTCTGTTGAGGGAGAAGAGCTGAGCTCCAGTGAGGATGCCAAGGTGTTCCACTGTCCTGGGAAGACACAAAGGGAGGAGATGATGGCTTTGTGCCAGAGATGGAAGGGCTGGGCACTGCACCAGGGCCGCATCATGAGGCCCTGGAGCTGTGCCAAGGTGGCAGCTGCAATCCCAGTTGCATTTCAGGCCGTGGGTTTAGTTAGTTATTATGCAGTTTTCCCCAGGAAACTACATATAAGAAAGAAAAGAGAGTGAGTTTGGGCTCTGAATGCCCTGGTTACAGAGCCTGGATTTACCAGGATTGAAATGCAGTTTGCAACACAGGCTTTGTAAGTAAATACAAGTGACTTGTCACACGGTTGAGATGTTGCAAGTAGCCTCCTCTGCTCCTTTTCCAATAAAGGAGCAGCATTTCATGTGGCAAAAAAGCAAATCTTACTCTTTGCTGAATGACTTTGCCTCCAGCCAAGCTTTGACTTCTTCGGTGCTGGATTCGAAGGTGAGGGGCACAAAAACTTCCTGAGGCTTTTCCACTTTGAAATTCCTGTGGGGAGGCTGAATTTTATTGTTTGTGATCTTCTTTAGCAGCTCGTCATTCAGCTCATCCATTTGGTGAATAAGTTCTGTAGAAACAAGTAGGGAATGAAATCAAGTCTTCAGTCAGAAATCCTGTTAAACGAATGTGTTTGCAGGGAAATTGTAAGGAAAATTGGAATGTGGCTCAGCATTTTCATTAACTCTGTAAATACACCCCAGGAAAGTGCTTACTTTTGTATTTTAGTTCTAAAGAACAAGCTTAAGTGCTTTGTTAGAGCAGTGACATTTTGACCTTCAAATTCCACCAGGAACAAATGTGGACAGGGTTCCACGGTGGTTTTGGAGGCTGCTGGAGCAGAGTGGGGGATCTCCCTTTTCTTCCCAAGCCAATTCTTCCCTTCAGCTTTTGAAACGTTGCTTTCTCTTTGGGAGAAACTGGGATTTCTACAGTTCTACAGAATGATGGAGAGGAGGGATCACAAAAATGACAGCTGAGTGTTCTAAGAAGCTTTGGGTTTGGGTTTCTTGCAGCGTGACTGGCGAGAACCTCATTTTCACCTGTTTTAGATACAAATTTACATTGAGACCCGTCTTGTTTCTCACGTTTGTAACTTCCCCGTCCATCACACCTCAGCCAAGGGACATGAAACCCCACAACCCCCACGAACTTCTGCTCGAGGTTTGCTCAAGGGTGTAAACCTCATCTGGCAGTGTCTTTGCTCCCACCAGTGCTGTCAGGTGGTGACAAGGGACAGGGTCCCTTTCCCTGATGTCTGGTGTTGCTGCTGGCTTTTTGCTTCAGTTGGTCATCTTCCTGTTTTTGAGTTATTTAGTTCCCTTTGGGCTGCTGAAATAAGGGAACTGCCCTGCAGACACAGCAGCAAGAGGGGAGAAGCCCAGCCCACGTGAGGCAGCAGGGGTCAGGAGGGATGGATTTGGTGTTTCTGAGAACCAGGTTCCCATTTTTATCTGCCCCTGCATTGACATTTATTTTCCTCCCATATCGCCCCTTTGCTGTCACCTGATGTGGAAGGACAGTTCTGTGAGAATCTGCAACTAGAGATTTGGGATTGGTTCTTTTTCAGTCCTGACTGCTGCTTCTAGTAAGTAATTTGCTGATTCAGGTCCTCAGAGCTCCAGGTTTTGCTCCACAGCTGAACAGCAGTGGCAGGAAGCACAAACTGGGAGTGAGCAACAGACTCATAAAAATCAGGGGTTGGAACCAAGATGCTCTTCAAGGTCCTTTCCAACCCAGGCCATTCTATGATTCTGTGACAACTCCAGTGACACAGTACCTAGTATCACTTTTCCCATGACACTCCTGAAGGATGTGGAGAATAACTTGGTGTTCTTAACAGACATGTGTCCGTGATGCTCATATATGGGGCTCTCCACTGTCCCAAGGGGCTCCTGCTTCCAGGAGTCCACAGAGGATGAACAGGCTGGGGTAAGAGGGTGAGGTCAGCAGGGCTCCTGGTCTCCCTCCTGCTCTGTGACCCCCCCCTCCCCCAAAGCATGTGCAGGGTGAGGGAGTGGCTTTCCTATTTGTCTGGGAATTGTGATGTGGCTCTCCCGTTTATCTGGGAATTCTGTGGAACCACAGGAAGGAACAGGCCAGGTGGGTTCTGTCTGTGTGGCAGCAAAGGCAGCGAGAGAAAGGGATTGACCTTGAGTGTATGTGGTTGCTTAGACACACTTAAGTGTTTTGGAAGGGAAAAGAAACTCTCTCCCTGGAAGAGGAGGAGGAAGGTCAAGCTGGAAGGAAGGACATGGTAATCACTTATTGCCCTGCTTGTCCCGGGCTCCCTGAGAGCCTGGGAGGTGAGTCACGAACACCAGGGCTGCTCTCCTGGCTCTTGTACCACTTGGAATCTCCTCCAAACCCACTGCTGGTCTAGTGCTGATCACTAAAAGGTGCAGTTGAGAGGGAACACTGTGGGCAGGTCTGTCCCCTGCCCGGAGCACCAGAGCCAGGGGAGCCTGGTGTGGGACATGTGGGACACGTACGTTCTTTGGCGTCCTGGGGAGAGTTGCGCGATAACATCTCACTGCCCCACTTGTCCCCGGCGTAGCTCGCAGGCAGCTTGTGAGTTGGGCTGGATGGTCCGTAGCCCCTGGGGCTCAGGTCTCCTTTGTACCTCTGGTTAGACTGGTTAGAAAAGGGAAAAACAAAAAAAGGTGTAAGAATTTTTTTTTTTTCCATTTTTCACTTTCTTAAACTTTTTGCCTCTCACTCACGGAGGGACAAACTGCCCTGTTCTCCCTGTGTTGGTGTGGGGCTGGTGGCACCTCAGGTGGAGCTGCATGGAAGAAGGTAATTTCTGGGTTCTTATGGGAATGAGCAACCCAAACCAAAGGGTGAGGATTGTGTGAGGGAATTAACATCCCTGCAAAATTAACATCCTGTGTCATGACTGTCATATGTGGTGTTGGTGCTTCCTTGCTGCTGCTGCTGCAGATGACTTCCCCCATGTGTGACTCAGCCCTTTAGCCTCTTGCTATGCAGAAATTACTGCTCACAGGGCTTCCTTGGGAAGCAAAAGGATCCTTACAGGAGGAGAAAATAAACAGAAATCCCACTGGAAGGCAAAGCCTCACTGCTCTGTAACTGGGATGTGAAGCAGGACCACTGCCAAGCTCCTGGAGCAGTCTGGAAAGTTTTTTGACATTTAGGTTAAACTCACAGGGATTTATCCAGAGACCTTCTGGGCCACCTTATGCTTTGCCCAAACTCTGCAATACCAAAGTGGGGAAGCAATTCCATGTTTCCTTAGAGGATTTAGAGCACTCCAGCTCTACATTTTTGCACCGCAAGGTGCAATATTCACTTAATTCTCACTTAGATGGTGTGTGCATCTGCCTCCACTCCAGCAATGTGTTCCTGCTGCTGCACTGAACTTAGTGAGGGAACTGTCTGTCTTTAACCTCCAGCAAAAACCTCGGCACTTTCCTGGAAGAATTTGCTTTTATGGAAAGCAAGGGGCTGCTGCACGGATGGGAAGGATACACTTGTTTGGGAAGGGGGAAGGTGAGCGTGGCAGAATGTGAGAGTTTTATTGTAGGAGATTCGGGGATCTCCTGAGTTTGTCTGTCTGTGAGGGTTTATCCTGACCTGGGCACAGCATCCTAAGAAATGCAGGGGGGTCTAACAACAGCATTATTTCCAGAGGTTGATGGTGCCCTGCAGGTGCTACCAGTCAGATACCACCTGACTACAGACCTGTTCCACCTCTTCCAGCTTCACCACATCCAGGATATTATACGGGACGTAACCGGCCTGCCCGCTCCGGTTGAGCAACTTCCACCACTGCTTGTTATCTTCCAGCACCTGAGAGAGGGACAAAAATAAACCTTCTGGTGGGAACACAGGTGTCTGGCACACAAAAATGGGATATAGTGGAGAGGGACCACATGGAAGGTGAAGTTGCCAGAATAACATCACTGAGGGCAGGAGCTCAGAGTAGATCTGTTGTTCTCAGGTGCAATCCAGGGGTGAAACCTTGCCTGGAAAGCATCTTGTCCTAAGGATGGATGAGCAGGAGAGCACCTCTGAAGAACTCATAGTTCCATAGGTCAAATTTCCCTGTTTCTCCATATTTTTTTTTTCCAGTGACTGAGTTACTGTTGTCTTTTTTGCGTTAAATAAGTAACAATAGCTGTATTTTGCACAGAAACCTTTTCCTCAGGTCACAGCTGAGTGTTGGCCCAAGCTGTGTCCTACGCTCTCCAGCTGCCAACAGCGTTGCAGTAAGAGAAGGGTTATGAAAAAGGATGTGTTCAGAGAAAATAATTCCCTGGGGAGGGGGAAGTGGTAATAACTAGCACAGACCCAGGAAGGAGGTGAGCAGGGCACTGCAGTGAGTTGTTTTCCTCCCTCCTCGTTGTAATTAAGGGGTGGCCGATGTGTTACAGCTCAGGAAATGACCCAACACAGAGTCAGTCTCTTCCGGCTTCAGACTTGGGCAAAACTTGGTGCAACTGCTCAGAAACCACTGAGGAAAACTGAGTTGGTGTTTTGCTGGTGTCCTGAGGTCTCTCCTGCCCCTGGGAAGGGGAGGATGCAGCTTTTCCCAAGCGTGCTCACCTACCTCCAGGATTTCATCCTTCAGCACGGAGAGCTCGTTGGCGTTCCGCGCGGTGAAGTCGTAGCGGATTTTGGCATATCTCTTGGGCAGAGCCATTCCCTGGGCCTCAAAGTTCCTGCAGCAGAGGAAAACCCCAGTTTTAATGGATGCTGATAGTGGGCTCGCTGGTAAAACAGAGTGGTGATGGCAGGTTTGTTCGTGTGTGGAGGGGCAGCATGCCTTTGCTCCTCTTTTTGGGGAAGATTTTCACCCCTTATTTTTAGTGAAAGATCCTGGTGTTGGGGACAAACAAGCAAACAAAAAGCCATAGGGGGTTTGGTTAATGGTCTTTTTGAGGGAGCTTTGAAGAAAATACTGATTTTTAGAGCCTGGAGGGGCTGACAAGGCACAAACCAAACGCTCTGACTGTACCTGGGAAAAATTAGGTGTGAAACCCTCCTGTCCTGATCAGTGGAAACAACAGCCCCAGATGCCAGAACAGGGAGAAGCTGGGGGAAAGGGAACTGAAAAGGAGAGTAGGCAGAACTGACTGGAAATCTGTGGGGTTTTCATCAGGCAACACTGAGCTGCTGACACAGAATTCTGCAGTTTTCCAGGAACAGTGCATTCGAATGTTTCTGTTCTAAGATGCATTTGGAGAGAGGGAAGACAAATGCATTCATGTGTCTGCTTGGAAATTTCTGACACTAGAACGTAACACTTTTCAATGTTGAATTAGCTTTTTGTTTGAAGAGAGACAAAATAAATATGGTAGATTATTGAAAATGGTGAAAAAATAGAATGAAAGATTCTCTTTGACCCAAACTGAAATGATTTTTTTTTTCTTTTTTTTTTTCTGCCTGACTTGGGAAAATTTTGCAGGTCTCACTTTCTTCTCCAGTTGAGTGTAGTGTTATTTTTTTAATTCAAAAAATGTTTGCTGTATGGAAAACTGTCTTGCCTTGTGGAAGGATATCAGGAACTATTTTAGTGCACTTGGATCTTTTTGTTTGTGATGTGTAGCCTGCACAGATACCAGATGCCATATTCCCAGTGGGTTTGGAGCAGGGGCTCAGGTTCTCCTCCACTTTAGGTCAGGTTCTGTAAGCTGATGAAACCGGTGCTTCCAGCATTGCCAGCAACTATATTTTTCCATTTCTGACTTACTGGGTTTGGTCAGTGATTTCAAATCCATGTACTGTGGAAGCTCAGCTCTTCTGAACCTGTAAAACCTGGCTTTGAAAAATGACCCCATTATGCTAAGTTTAAATTGATTTTCCTGCCTTTGTTATATGTTGTTGGTGGTCTGAAAAATGTTGAAATCGCTGGTTTAGTGTTTGATGCACACCAGTGGTTGTAGTGTTGTGTTTAGTTCCATGCTCTGGGACAGCTCTTGGTCTAGTTACACCCATGTGTAGTATTTAAGTTGTAATTCCACCGTGGGGAAGAGCTTGGAGCAGTCAAATTGAATCCACCTGGCCAGAAAGGGAGCAATGGCCTTGCCCAGCAGTGCCCTGAAGGCAGGGAGGGGGAGGAAGGCCCGAGTTAGGTCGGAATTACTTCTTCTATGGCATTCCAGAAGGTAATTGAGTCATGAGGGAGGAGTTGGAGGTGGTGTGTACTCTGTGTGCACCTGGACTGTGCCCAAGGGACCCGTGCTGATGGTTGTGGTACTGCCTGGGACTTTCAGGACACTTCTCTGCAGCCAAAAGCCCTGTAAATAACTGTAGTACTGATGTGTTGGGTGTTTTTGCTAATATGGGGTCTCTTGGTTAGAAAACTAGTTCAGAACTCTTCTGAAAAAAGCATGAGCACAGCAGGAAAAATGTCTGTGCCAGGACTGTCATTGTGGCTAACCCTGGGCAGACTCAACTCCAGTGCAATGAACTTGAATTTATTTTTTTTTCTTGACTGTTACCTGTGAGGAAAACTTGCCACTGACATTCTGAAAGGCAGGTAAACAGGTCCAACACCTGAGATCCTCAGCTCCTCTCCGTGAGCCCACGCTGTGCTGGGGCTGAGGGGTGTCCCGGGGAGAGGTGGCCTTGGTGAAAGGCACCCTGATAATTTCTATCCCAAGATTCCATACTGCTATTTTTAGTTTGCCTGTGCTGATGGATGTGGAAGGGTTTGCCTGTGTGTGTTGTCAAATAGTCACTAAAACCAGATTTAAATCTTCTCACGTAAACAAAATTCTCTGTGTTTTTCCCAGCGTGAGAAAACTGGAATTGGAGAAGGGAAATATCCTAATTCCTTCCCTGCTTTACACGCTCTTTTCCTGCATCTGTACCATTTTATGGTCCCACCAAGAGCTGTGATGTGGTGAACAACAGAAATAAGTTATTTGCTGATATAATTGGATTTAAGGTATTTTGCTGTGATTTTGAACTGTAAGCTCTGGAGCAACCTGGTCTATTGGAAGGTTGGGAGTTGGAACTGGACAAGCTTTAAGGTCCCTTCCCACCCAATCCATTCTGTGGTTCCATGATTCTAGTGTCTCTAAACATACGGAGAGCAGAAGCACAGTGCAGCACCTGTGGCCCCTCATCCACAGGGTCAGTTTGGTGGGCTGGGGGCAGGGAACAAGACCTGTGGATGGACTAATGAGGTCAGGCAATATTTTTGCCTCTTGTGGTGGAAAACACCTGGAAGTGTTTTCCTTGCGGAGCTGCTGGTGATTAAACAGCAGACAGTGCTTAGGTGAATGATTCCTTGTCTGACCTGTACCTTCTCTTGGGGGTTGTGAGCAGTGGCAGAGAGTGACCTCCAGGATGCCCAAACATCCCGGTGTTGTGGTACCTGTCCGTGTGTGTGTGTGAGGTTCCCGGGGGGGAGCTGGGATGTGAGGATCCCTGACCTGTTCACGTGCTGGGTGACGTTCTGCTTGAAGGCATCCACGGCTTGTGTCTGGTCGGCCGCCTGGCCACGCTTGAGCGAGGAGTTCCGGTAGGGATATCCGTTGGCTGAGGAGAGCTGGGAAGGCAGATGTGGAGTCAGCGTTACCAGGGAAGGGGGAGAGGAGAGGGACAGTGGTAGATGAGTCGTGGCCTGGAAGCTTTTGGTCACCACGAGGTGCACACCAAAACGTTCTTCAGGCAAACCTGTATCCCTGGAGCTCAGTTACATGATAGTGGCCTTTGATCAGGAGGGGCTGGTTATTGCTGCCCCTTTCCAGCCTTATTTTCTTTCTGTATTTAACTGGAGTGACCAGAACCAACTGAGTTTTGAGTTGTCTACTTATTAGACACCACCACGCCCCCCACAGATCCATCTCTGGAAAAGGGGGCAGGAGAAGAGAGGGTCCCCAGGGACACAGGACTAACCTCCTCCTGCAGGTGTCCGATGTCTATTTCCCAGGGAGCTCCACGGAAGATTTCTGTGGGTGGTTCCCAGCCGTTGCGGAATTTGGGGATGTAGGTGGGGATGTTTGCGTCTCGGGGCCACTCGGCTCTAGGACATGAAGTGGGAATATGAGGTGAGATTCACAAGGAATGTGTCTGAAGGCATGTGAGGGAGAAGCAGAAGCATCAGGGCATCCTTGACCTTCTGATAGAATCAATCATCCTTTCACTGGGAACCTGGTGAGATGGCAGCTCTGTCCTCACCTGGATCTGGTCCACGTCTCCCCCAGGGAATCCCAGAGGTTGATCTCTTTGGGTGTCAGGTGTCCTCTGAGGAAATCTGTGGCGTCTTTAGAAAGAAGTGGGCTGACGACAGAGCGGGCAAGCTCGGGGCCACCACAGCTGTTGATGATCTGGGTTACACACAAACCACACAAACAGGAGAGAATTTGCAGGAAACGGTCAAAATATCAAAGCAGAGACACTCAAAGGAGCAGCAATCAAAGACAAAGCTGATCCTGAGATCAGCTCAGTCGCCTCAAGAAACATCAGCCTAAATCTTTGAAGAAGACTGGACAGTTCAGAGGAATGTGAGAATTTTTTATATTGGAGTCAAAGCGTGATCTGATCTAAAAATGAGCTGTTGGTAGAGGCATCACAAGCTGGCACTTCAAAAACTGACAAATATCTTGCTATTTCTGTGTCCTCTCTTGTCCTTTTCCATGTCAGGATTTCTGCTTCCTATTTTCAGTGCAAATACTGAGCCATGTTTGCCTGAAGGTGAGAGCAGGCAGATTCCCAATGGGAACCACAGCTGGCTGGCACTTTTGTTCACAGTCAGGCTTTATTAATGGGGTGGAGATAGGATTTACCAGTTCCAGCGGTCCAAACAGGAAATGTACCAACTCCGAAGCGCTGGGGTTCTGGATATGCTTCCTTAGTTTGGCCTGGAAAGAGAAAGGAAACCCGGTTTAACCCTAACCTGAGTGTGCCCTCTCTTTTCTGTCACATGGAGGGATTGCTGCTGACTGATAAGAAGAGTAAGTGACTGGGGAGTAGGAATCGTTCATTTTTCTTTTGTGCCCATTTCTAGTTCCTGGTGAATTCAGGAGGGCTGGAATACCTGCTCTGCTAAATCAGTCTCTCTGAAGCTAATTGGAGCAACACAGAAAACCTCAGCTTATTATGAAAGTCCTAGTGAGGAAAGGCCAGGATTATGGCTTCTGCCTCTTGCAGGGTTGAAAACCCTGCTAGTTCCATGAATGAAAACAATAGGACAAGTGTTTTGTAGGTCCTTTGCCAAATTGCTGAAGAAGAAAAATCTCCACCACGGTCTTGCCTGTGGCACCTACAGCTGCCCTGGCCACTGAACTGCTCCAAATCCAATGGTATTTATTGGAGTGAGTTGGGCTGGAATGGAGGAGCAAACACTTAGGGTGAGTTTACTGTAAGAATGGGGTTTTATTAGCAGTGATCAGCTGAGCTGAAACCTCTTCACTTTGTGCTTCCATTCAGCTCTTTCTCCTGTCCTGGGCTCCTGGCATTGCTGCCATGGAAAACAGGCTCTCCCTGCTCCTCCTGAAATTCAGAGTATTTTAAATGCTGGTGGTTAAACATTAATGTGGAGTGGAAAGTGTGAAACAACTGATGGCAACAAGGGGACTCAATGAAATGGCCCTTCTCAAGGACTTCCCAGCCCTGTGGTGTGGAATGTGGCAGTGTTCCAGCACGGACTCCCAGTTCTCCTCCATGCTCAGACCTGGGCTCTTCCCAGAAGATATGCTGCTCTTTCTGGCCCTGAGCAGGCACAAATTATTCATATTTGCCTCTAAAAGAGAAGGCTGGAGCTTGGTGTCCTGCACTGAGGTTGTTTACAATCTCTGTGGTTTCCTTACTAATAAGCTCCCTGAAGGACCTTGTAGGATGTGTTTGCTGGGCAGGTTTGGTCAGAACTGACAGAATTTCTTGTGGCTTGTGACCCTCCGGGTCTCACACATTTCGCTAAGCAGAGCTGGTAGCACTGGGAACATCTTTATGCTCCTGCTTTTCATTCCCTTCTTAGTGCAGAGGGTCTTCCAGAGGAGAAAGAAAGGAGCCAGGAATATGGGGGCAATGGGGGGCATCAGTTAATGTCAAGCAGAGACTTCTCAGGCCTGAATCTGAAAAGATGAAAGTGTTGCAAGCCTCTGGCTGCTCAGTCCCATCCTGGACTTCATGCTTCTAGTTTGGTTTAACAGTTTGTTCCAAAAGACCTGCACCAGCCTGACACAATGTTTGTCCTGGGTTCTGAAGATCCTGGAATTTACACCTTCGTCCCTTGGTGGTGTTTTCCATTCAAATTTCACTCCGAACTCTTGCTACTGGGATGCACAAGGAAAAGCCCTGTCACTGTGTGGGGTGGGAGCTCCCTCCGTGCCTTACCAAGAGGTTAAAAGCCAGTTTGGTTTTCTGGAAGCAGTCGATGAACTCGGCCTCACTCGGGGGTCTTGCTCGGAGAGTCAGCATTCCCTCTGCCAGGAGAAGGGGCACAGAAGGACGTGTTAATTACAGAATCCCTGTTTGGGAATGGGCAGAAAACACATCAAAAACGGGTGCTGAAACTACTAAAAATCCAGGGGTCAGGGAAAGCCAAATGCCTTTCTGTGTGTTGGAGGCCTCACCAGGCTCCCTGTGCTCTCCAGGAGGCCCCCACGGACCAGTGGCACCTTCTGAAATGGCTGGATCCGTAATGGTGCTGCTGCATCGACCTGCCCTTGCTGGGGCATGAGCTGAGGTGTCCCCCCACCTTCACCTGTGCCCCTGTATTCCCCGTTTGTTCCAGCTGCTGCACTGTACCTGCCGGCCCTTTCTTCTTGTTCTTCTTCCCTTTCTTCCTCTGGTTGAGCTGTCGGAATGCCTCTGCTGCCTTCTGCAGCTGGGCGACGAACACTTCGATGTCATCCAGAGTGCAGTTCAGGATTTGCTGTGGGGACAGAAACCCAAGAGACCAAGGTGAAAGTGAGCCTGGGCTGCACCCAGCTGGGAGTCCGAATCCCAGAGCCTGCCACATTTCCTGGAAGAATGCACAGGAATCAACAATCCAGGCATGAAATGAAGCTGAATTCATCACTTTCCAAACACAAAGCTGGGCCAGGCTGGGTGCTGTACTTATCAATGTGACAAGTGACCCCTGCTAATGGACGGCTGGAAAATAACCCAAGACCGGGCTGTGGGATGGGGAGGAGCAGACCTGGAATCAGCAGAGCTGCCTCAGGTCAGAGGATGTTATAACTAACCCAGTGATGGAGCTTTGCTTTTGGCCACCTTATCTTTATGCACAGCAGATATCAGTTTGAAAAATGACCAGATTATGCATTAAATGTCTGCTCCCTGGTCTCCCTCTCCTCCTGCCTGTGGGCTGTGCACTGTCCTGGTTACCCACCGTTTCCTTTTCAATCTTCTGTGCTAACATGGCCCGGGACTCTTCGTGGTCATGAGAGCCGGAGCTTCGTCGATCATAGTCTGCAAACGAGGGAGAGAAAAAGATACTTCCTATCAGAGGTTAAAAATAGGCTCCATTAAAGGCAGGGATCCATGGGATGGTAACTCCCAACTCGGGTGTTTACTCTGGGTTATGAGGGCACCTCAGGAGACCATAGGGAGCAGGAGGTGATCAAAGTTGCTGATTAAATCTTCCAAGGTCACAGCACTTGCCTGCCAACCCCTGTGTCAACACTCTGCCTGTTCTCAGGTATGGACAGGGAATTAATCAGGAGGAGCAACCAGCAGAGACCTGCCAGCCCCTGAGTCAGCAACTCCTGTACCTTTGCTGGATCTATGCTGAGGAACTGAAGAACAAGATGTCAAGTGTGATTAGATTAACTTTACTCTCTCTTCTAATCTCCACAGGAGCCTTCATTCTCCTAGAGGTTCCAGTTTAACTGAACAGTAGTTAAGAAAGAAGGGAAAAGCCCTGGAAGTGAACACAACTGCTGTAAAGCAGCATGCCAGGAATTCTGCATGATGGATGTTTAGGCAGGCCCGTGCACAAATCAGCATTTTTGTACAAACTTGTGTGCAGTCTCTCAAGTGTTTTTAATGGGTGTTAAAAATACCAATCATCCTGCAAAAAACCCAACCCGCAGGCACCTCCCGGCTTCCAGGAGACAGCCACTCAGTGAGGGGGGATATTTCAGCATGTACAATTGCTGGGGTGGCCCCCTGTGAAAAGAAAACTCTGTCAGCTCAGTGAAATGTGGTTTGAAAGGGCCAGCACAGCAGGATACACCGAGTGGGAGAACTTGGGAGGCAGCTTTGGCAAAGGACCGTGAAAAACCCACGTCATCTGTAAGTGTGGGGCTGAAGTGATTAGTTCTGACAGGTTTTGTAGAAAAAGCAGTAGGGCGTGTTTTGAGAAGTGATCTCAGCAAACAGGCATCACTCGAAGCTTTCTCCTGTCATCTGCTTTCGTGCCAGGCTCTGTGCTCTCAGAGCCAGAAATCCTGCCTGGGTGAATTCCCAGCTCAGCTGATGGGAGCAGTGTAAGCTCAGCTCTGTGCTGAGCTCCCTCGGAAGGGCAGAGATAAGGGTGGCTGCTCTGCATCAGAATATAGGTGTTTATTCATGGTCCAGCTCAGAAACACAGATATTCCTTTTATGATGCAGAACTGGGCCTGAAATAAGCTCTCCATTCAGGAGCCAGAGCTTCTGTCCCAGGAAAGGAGTGGTTTGGAGTTTCTTATAGTATACTATTATGTGTTTTCCTTGAAACTAGAAATGAATCCTAAGAGAAGGTGGTATGGTAGGCAGGGATGAGAAGTGCTTGCAGTTTGCTCATCAGTTTGAGCTTTTGTCAGAGAAAGAGCTTATATCTGTTCTGTTTTCAAGCCAGCCCAAAGGGGCTGAAGTCAGGATGCTTTTGGAATCGGTCTTTGGATTCACACATGAGGGGAGAGTTCAGAGCTGCATTTCCACACTCGACTTTACAGGAGTTCATGGAAACCCCTTGATTTTTGAGTGTGAAATCTAGGCTCCTGTGAAGTCAGCAGAGCCAGGAACTTGTCTTTCTGACCAGCCCTGTCTTGTCTGTACATTTTAAGATCACTAATGCTTGCTTCAAACTTCATGTGGTAGCTCAGTTTTATGGGGGGGGTCTTTGCTTATTTTGGGAATTTCAGAATCCCCCAAATATAGGTGTTTTTACAAGGACTTTCTAGGAGTTTTGATTTGTTGAGCAGAAGATGCCCAGTGGGTGCAACACTTGTTTATACCACAGACCACTTCAAGAGGGTTGGCTGTCTGGGTTCATGAGTTTCCCATCCCCAGGACAGACTTCCTGAGTGCTCCCAGTACCTGGATCATGCTGGGAAGGAGGTGCCACCCTGTTCCTGTTCATCCCTGAGCCTCGCATGTCGTGCTGGATTGGGATGGGAGCCGGCCCTTGCGGCGGGGGGAGGATGGATTGTCTCTGCTTGATCTTTTCTTGGTTTGCCCTGCAAGGAAAAGGTCACAGAGCAACCCTGTCAGTGGCTGCTGATCCTGCTTCCAAGAGACTGGGGTGTGAATACACCACTGGAAACAGCTTTGGGTTTGTTACTCCCAGCTGTATCCTGCAGCACTTACTTGAGTGTCTGTGGCCGTATCTTCTTCCCATGCTTGTGGTCTGACAGGGCACTTTCTATGTCCTCATGAACCAGCTCCGCCTCAAAGAGAAAACAGGGATGTTTTTAGGGGCTTGTCTCTGGGGAGGATTGAGGGCAAAGCAGGAAGGGGCTGGCAGGCAGCGAGACAAACGAGGAGCGCTCTGCTCACCTCCACCTCATCACAGTTGAAGAAGTGGATGTCAGGTTTGTGCTGCTCTGAATCCTGGCACACCAGGAGCAGGATGGAGGAATAGCGCATCTGGTTGAGCACCGTCTGGCAGTGCTGCACTGTCGGCAGAGGGAAGTCCTCCAGCTCCTCCTGGAAGAGGAGGAGGAAGGTGTCAGGCAATGGGAGCTATTGAACTGAGGGGGAATGGTCCTGTGCAGGAACTCCTGGGATCCCTGTCCTGATCTTTAGTTTGCCATTGCTAAAACCATCCCTCTCCCATGCTGCAGGGCTGGCTCTAATCCAGGAGTGGATTTTGGTAGTGACTCACCCTTGTTTGGGTTCCTTAGAACTTGCCTTCTCCAGGTAGAACAGCAAGGGCACCACTGCACCCCACAGCTCCCCCAGAGCCCCAGGTACCTTTGTCTCGCAGTCCAGCAGCCGGATGGACTTGTCGTTCACTTGCAGCAGCATTTCCTGTGTCCAGATTTTCTCTTTGGAGTTGAGCAGGATGAGCTTCCGGATGGCATCGTCCACCGTCATGATGGACTCGCTCTTGTCCATGATGAAGGTGGCCAAGTGCTGAAGATGGGGAGGGAAAGGAGGAAAAAACAGGTAGAAAACATTTGTTAGTGTGTGTAGATCAGTGGTGAAAGCATCTCTAAAGGCTTCAGCTACTGTTTGTAGTTCTTCAGAGCTCAGGCGTGAAGGAGTTTTGTTGCACAAAGCAGTTCTGGTTGGTGGTAGCAGCCTGGCCATGGCAGTGAAAGACTGGGTTTTGTAATGGGTTTGCATAACCAGTTTCACCACTTGCATATTAATCTCCTCAATTCCAGCAGCTCTGGCCCCCATCCAGCGGGGCAAATGCTTCCTACACACAAGTTACTGCCCTGGCCTTTCTGAAACTGGCTTGGAAGTTTAAATATAGTAGTTAAGCTTCACTTGCCAAGCTAAAAGCACTTGGAATTTGCTTGTCTGGCGTAGCAGATCTGCCTGTGTGGGATTTGTGCCAGACAAAGAGCTCACACAAGCCATGGGCGAGTGTCAGTCCTCTGTGCCAAGTGTGCTGTGTGGGGTCCCCTGCTCTGGGAACAGCCCCTCTGGAGAGCTTCCATGCTGGGCAGGGAAGGGTATCGAGGCAGCTGTGGAAAGGAGAGATGTGTCACATCCAACTGGTGCCAGTGCCTCCCAGTAGTGCGTGGAGGCCACTCCAAAAATCCAGGTAACTGCTCAGCAGCAGGCGGGAGCAAGCGCTGCTCCCCGAGGACCGGAGTCTGCCAGCAGAGGGGACTGTGAGGCAGGAAAAGCTGGGACTCCGAGCAGCCTGGCTGTTTGCCGAGCTGTTGTCCTTGTGCCGTGACAGCACAGCCAGGCCACGTGTCCAGATGACAACAGGGAAGGGGAAAAAATCAGGAAGGAAAAGGAACTGGTCCTGTTTCACCTTGTTCCTTCACTGCCCAGCTGGGAGCAATGTGAACTCCTGCTTCTCTCTGAAGCACAAGCCCTGCAGCCTGGTTTCAAAGCAAGAGCCAGAAAAATGGGGTGTGTTGTACAGCAAGTCCTAAATTGATCTGAAATTTGGAGTAGAGAGATGAGTTTTGCCTGGCTTTTCTCCCTCTGATCCCATATCTTCCTCCCTTCTCCCAGTGATCAGACATAAGCTTTTCAGGGGTCAAGCAGGTTCTTTCTGGTGCTGATGCTGGTGGGAATTAGGGGTGGATAGGGTTTGCGGTGCCCCATTTGCTGTTGGATGATCCCCAAATCCTGGAGGAAGGGGCAGAGAAGAGGGCAAGCTCTGCAGGGCGCAGACCCGTTGCGTGTTCCCTAAGCACAGGTGTGGGGTGAGGCACTGACTAAATAGAACTGCCTGAGCTGAGATTAGCAGTGCAGTCACGTATGAAAACACACCGGGCTGTCTTACTGGAACTGTAAAACAGTGCACAGAAAGGTTATTTGCCAAGTCAGTCTTATCTGTGCAGAGGTGACAGGCCTCTCTTTCGGAGCAGTGAGGAGAATGGTTTACATGGGATGACGGGCGTTCTTATCTCTTCTATTATTTTATCCACCAGCTTTACGAGCTTCATAAATTCCTTTCCTGTTTACTGTTACGTTAATTTTCATGGAGGGGAAACTACTTGTCAGACTCACTCACTAGAATATTTTTCGTTTTCATTTTCCATTTTCTGTAGATATGGGTGGATTGAGGGGCAGAAATTTCCTGCTGTCTTTGCTTTATCTCATTAAAACCTTGATATTCAAATACAGCAGCTTTTGTAAGAATGGGCAGTGAGTCCATCCACCATTAAACTTCGATCAGATTATTTCAAAGGGTGTAAAATGCCTCCTGTGAGGAAACCTCATTCTGTGTCAGTGCCTGCCACTGGAATCCTGTTGGCCTTGGTCAAAGTTCAGGGGAGAGACTGGTGAATGGGTGGCATGTGGCCTAATTAATGAGGAATTCCTGCACTGTGTAAAGTCCTGTCTCTGCCTCCGTGAGCGACTGCTGGGCCATCGAGTTGGTTTCTCCGGTGCAAACCAGGACCTCCTTCCAAACAGGCATTTCAAAAGTTTAAATTCAGCGTTTTAAAGGGTCCCATGTATTAAATATGAACCTCATGAAGTGTCTTCCCTCCTGGCCTTGCCCAGTCAGTGGTGAGCGGCCACCTCTGTCCCCGCGGTGTCCTGGCCTGTACCAGCGTGCTGTGCTCAGGAATGGCCGAGCCCAGGGTGGCCAGGCTGGCTCCTCTCCATGCACAGGGTGCCTGACACTGGGAGATGGGTTTGGCTTATTGCCTGAGTGTGTGGAGGGCTTTGAGTTACTTGAGAGGACAAGGAGCTGGGGAGAGATGAAAGCTGATAGTCCATGTGGTCTCTGTTGTTTGGGAAGTTGAGTTCCTGTAACCACCATGGGAACTCTGCTTTTAACCTCTCTGTGCTGATCCGGAGGGTTGGAAGCACAGGGTGATGGGAGGGATGGACACAGAGGAGGGAGAGGACAGCAGCTTCTCCATTTCCTCTTTCCTTGTACACAATTCCCCTTGCCTTTTTTAACAGTATTCCCCCCTGCCATCCTCCTCTACCCAGTTACTCAGGACTTGAATTGTAAGGAGAGTCCCAACTGCTCTCTGGCCCCGTGAAGGTCCAGGACACAGGGAACACACTGCATGACCAGGACCTATCACTGACCTTGGCCTCCCAGCCCCTCAGTGCTCCATTGTGTGCTCACCTGGACGTGGTACTGGGAAGTCTCGTGCATAATGATGTTGGAATTGGAGTATTTTTTCCTTTGTTCTGTAAAAAAAAAAAAAAAGAAAAAAACAAGTTTATCATTGTTTATCTCTGAATCAGGATCTGAGAATTACAGCTCTGTAATTTCTGAGATTCCAGCTTCAGTTGGAATATTGGGAATAATAAGACATTAGCTTTTGTTAGAAGGATTGGAAAATTGAGTGTGTAAAGTGTATGTTCAAGCTGTATTCCTTCGTGCTGCTCATCTTTTGATTCAGCACCATTTGTGGAGCAAATTAAACCTTGTGTAAAGGAAATCCCTGGAAAAGGAATGATTAGGAAAGCTTTTGGAAGAGGGCTGGAGAGGTGAGGAGTGTTTTGAGAAGACTGGCAGAAGGCCAGAAGGAAAAATCCAACCACAACCCACCAGTTTGGACGTGACAGCCCTCTGACTCGTCCTCCAGAAGAACCCTCTGTGCTCTGGGATGCTTTCAGTTTCCTTTCTCATTTTTCCTGCCACAGTAAAGGGCTGTTGCTACAGGTAGGAAAGGCAGTTGGGATCAGCCAGGAACCCCAGTTTCTTGTAAAGTATTTTTATGAGGCAACAAATCCTCATTACTTCCTGCATTTCTTACTGGAAAGCAGCAGTAAAGAGCAATTAGGGAAAAAATTGCTTAGTATTCCGTGAGGCTATTGAACATAATCCTCCTGGAACTGACCCTGCCGGCTCTTACTCGCTGTTTAATTGGCCCTTGGCCAGGGATTCCTTTAAATTGCTTGAATGGTAGAGGAGGAACTATCCAGGCCCAGAGTGATCTGGGAGCATCCAAACTGGAAACATCCTCCTGGCCAGCAGAGGACATCCTTGGGTTTTAAAGAAGTATATGTTCATCTGAATTTCTTTGTGGTTCACTCAAAGCTCTCCTTAATACCTTCTCAGGGATTTGGCTTCTCTCTTGTTCTCCCCTTTTCTCCGAGCACAGAACACGTGGCCTCATTTAACAAATTTCACATTAAAGAGGCTGGTTCCTAGAAAATGTCTGTCCTGATAGGAACTCATACTTTCCAAATGTATTAAAACCAGGAGCTTTTGGTGAAGAGGTGAGTTGACAGGAGTCAACATGTATTCCAGGCGCTGCCTGCCAGGATTCCTGCAAATGCCCCTGTGTTTGACGTACAGCTTCGTGCCTGGATTTGTCCTGCCTAGAACAGGCTGGGATTTCCAGCCAGCCCATCTAGCCCCTGGAATGCTCCCATTCCAGCTTTCTTTGATTTAGCTCACATCTGGTGGGAATTTGGCGTTTCTTTGGCTGTCCTAAAATCGGAGTTGGGATCAGGGCCTGGGACACATGCAGGGGCAGCGTGTTTTCCCTTTGGGTCCCACCTTGGCACTGTGAGCCTTTCCTCCACATTCCCCCTGTATCTCTGTTACACTTTCATTTCTCCTTGCCTTCCATGGGAAATGAGCAAGGATCAGCTCCAGCTCCACAGGCATTGCCAGCAGGTGTCTCTCCGGAACAGGCGCTGCCTTTCCATGGGATCTGCCTGGGGGATTTCCCCTCTCTCCTTGGCTGGCTGAAAAGAGCTTTTACACGGAGCCCCTCTTGGCCCTCTTCCGAAGCCACAGGGCTGAGCAGTGGTGGCAATCCTGCCCATGGCTGCAGGAGTGTGCTGAGCACCCACAGACACCCCAGACATGCTGGAAAGAGATGCCTGCTCTGGCCAGGGTGGACAGACACTGGATTCAAGCTGATTGCTAAAGCTTTTTAGCACTTCTCTAACACTTTAAGGCTGGTGTGTGCCACGAGCTTGGCAGGACATGTGAGTACTTCACACCTGGTGTCTCTGTGGCTGAAAACACAACAGTGTTTTGCCTCTGTGGCTGATTCCTGATAGCCCTGGAGTGGTGGCTGTTCCAGAGTAGAAGTGGTTTGTTGGTGGGAACGCTGCTTCATTGGTGGGAAAGCTGACAGAGGCATACTGGAGACTGCAGGTCTCTGAGCCAGGGTCTCCTACACCACCAGCACCGACTCAGAGGTGGAGTGAGGATAGTCAGGGGGAAAGGCCTCGGACACCCAGCCCAGCTCCCTGCTCAGCCATTCCAGAGTGACCTTGAATAAAAGAATTAACATTGCAGCACAGCCACTTCCCACCTCGGGCTCGCAGGGAAGGCTCAGTGGCATTTTCTGTTTGCTGGGGGCTTTAATTGCAGTCTGTCCTACTTGGAATGTGGGGCAAGGTCTGGGGTAGGGCACAGGCAGCGCATCCCGCAGGGATTCGGGGCTGATGTGAGGCACTTTTCTTCTCTCAGTAACCTCAATTTCCTGCCCAGGCATTTCTCGTGTAAATAGATGACACTGATGGAAATGAGAGCACTGCACCCGTGTGGGATGGAGGCAGATCTGGAGTTTAAGGCATCCCTTAAAAGGCATCCCTTTTTTAAAGGGAGTGGAAAAGGCTGAAGTGGGTGGTCTGGAAACAAAGGGGGTTTATATTAGGGCAGGCAAATGTCTCCAGCCCTGAGAGGAAGGGTTGGAGCTGCACTGGGAGCTGCTAGTCCGTGAGGAAGGGAAGGAATACCAGGGGGATGAGGTTTCCAGAGGGAGGCTAGTGCAGATCTGTGTTCCAGGTAAGAAAACAGCCCCTGGAGCTGCAGCAGTGGTCAGGGCTGCAGCTTGTTGCCCTTGGACTGTCTGGGATCCCCTCCAATGCCTTTGGCCCTTCCTCCAAGCTCAAAGAAGCTGCACATGTCCCGGTCAAGGGAGATCTCAGCATGAATCCCTGAGAAAATATTTGGAGAAGCCCTTGGAAATTTTGGGGACTGGCCAAAACCTCAAAACTCTGCATAGCCCAACTTTCCATCACCTGCCCTTGGTGACTGCAGAGAGCAAAGGCCCCTTTAGCCCTTTGCAGCCTTTTTCAGACAGTAGCAAGCCCAGGGACAGGGAGAAATGCAGATGTTTCCCCTCCCTCTGTTGATTTTCCCGGGAGGAATTTCTGCATTACCTCCGAGAGTCGCAGAACTAGAACAAAGTGCCTCTATTTTGTCTCATCATGTCATTCAAGTGACGTCCCAGAATCTGCCCAGGGCAAGAAATGGGGTGTTACTGCATATTCTCTTTCCTGTCCCTTTCCTTAAGAAGTCTGCTTGTTCCTTCTCCTGAAATCCCTTCTGTCTCCTTGGCTTCTACCTGGCCCCCACACCCATGGAAACTTTTATTTTTGTGTTTCCTCCTGGCAAATGAAACCACGAGGTCTGGAACCAGCCTGGCTTTCCGGGGACAGCAGGGTGCCAAAACACTGAAATCTCCTTTCCTAGTGCATAGTTTTGATTGAAACACAGGAAGAATTAAAGATCCAGGCTGCAGATCACAACAGAGTCAGTCTTGGGCCACAGCTATCTGGGGAGTGTGGGTGCTTTAAAGGAAAAGAGGGGGTTTGGGTTTATTTACTCAAAGCTGCAGAGCTTTCCATGATGCATCTTTATTAGTCTTTGCTTAAATCTGGCTCTGGTTGGGCTGGGCTAATACTGATACACTTTAGGAAGGAATTCTTCCCTGTGAGAGGGGTGAGGCCCTGGCACAGGTTGCCCAGGGAAGCTGTGGCTGCCCCATCCCTGGAAGTGTCCAAGGCCAGGTTGGACGGGGCTTGGAGCAACCCAAGCTAGTGGAAGGTGTTCCTGCCCATGGTGGGGGTGGGACTGGATGGGCTTGAAGGTCCCTTCCAACCCAAACCAGTCTGGGATCCTGTGAGTGATGCCTGCAGGGAGATCTGTGACTGACTCTTGGATCAAGGGGGATCCTTTGCCTTGCACAGGGGAATTCCCCCAGCCAGAAAGGCTTCAGGAGGAGGGTCACCTTTCCCATGTGCTTCCCCGCTGCCCTTTCTGCACAGCCCTGTCCTCATCTACTGGATGTTGGATGGAGGGACTCTGGCTCAGCAGCGGGAACCAATTTCCTCCTGGTTCATCCAACACCTCACCCGGGACACTTGGCATTTCTACAGCTCCTGCAATGGGCACCTCAGGTGTTATCCCACCCTCCACCTGCCCCAGGAGGCAGAGAATTCCATAATCCCCATGTGATAAATGAGCATTGCAGGAATACAGGGAACACTTCCCCCAGATTAGCTCAGCCCCAACCTGCAGCTCTGTGTATGTCCTGTGTGACCTTCAGAGGCTGCGGCAGTGCAGGACTGTGGGTAGGACACAGGCAAAGGGCAAGGAGAGCTCCAGGGCTGTGGCACCAGTCCAGCAAACATCCCAAGGTGATAGAGCTGGCCCACAGCGACCACCACTGGCCTTTTTCCTTCTGTCTGCCAAGAGAGCCAAAGAGATGGGAAAACAATACGGCTTTGTCCTGTCCTTCTGGTGTCTTGCATGGGGATCCTGGAAGGTGCTGTGATCTACTGTGGCCTGAGGAGCAGTTGTGCTGATCCCAGACATTTACTGTACAAATGGCATGGGTGATCCAGAAAGTTCTGAATGCTTTGAGCATGGATAACACACTGGACATGTGCACCCTCATTGTCTCATCTCTTGCCTCTCAGGATCTGGCCCAGTGATCCCTAAGACAGTCCTTTGAGGAGGAAAAATTCCTATAAATGGTTCTTTAATGGAATTCACTTCAGTCCTCTCCTAACCAGGTGGTTTTACTCTTGCCTCACACCCAGAGGTGTGGGGAAAAGGGCAAAGAATGTTATCTATCACCAGTACCCTACAGATAAACAGGGCTGTGGGAATGGTGTTTCCCACTGGCACTGGTGAGGGAACGGGAAAAGCTCAGACCACTGCAGGGGTACAGGGTGGATTTTACCCGAGGGCTCAAGACAGTGCTGGGCTGAAATCCCGATGCTGAGGCTAAAATCTTGTCTGGAAAGGAGAGTGCCCTGTTTGGCTTTGTGTTAAGGAGCGGGAGGGATGAAAGAGAGGAATAAGTAAGGAAAAGAAGCAGGATCGATGCAAGTGCACACGGGGTTATCGGCTTGGTCCAGGAAGCCAAACCACGTCTTTAGAGCCAAGGTCCCTCCCCATTTCTGTGCAACACCTTTTTTGCAGGGACTGT